CTACTTGGGAAAACTCCTAGAAAAAAAGATGTCTACACTTTGCAGCTTCCACTTCTATTCCTCTCACTCCCCAGGCCTTTGCAATCTGATTTCTGACATCATCACTTGACTGGAATTGTTCTCCCCAGAGTTGCCAATCATTTCTTAATTTCTAAATCTGATAGTCTTTTTTCTTCTTTTTTTGTCTTTTTTCTTTTTTTAATATAAATTTATTTATTTTTAGTTTTCAATATTCACTTCCACAAGTTTTTGAGTTCTAAATTTCTCACCCCTCCCCCCACCCCAAGATGGCAAGCATTCTGAATACCCCTTCTCCTGGTCTGCCTTCTCTTCTATCTCTCCCCCCTCTCTTCTCTTATCCCCTTCCCCTTCTTCCATGGTCATCAGTCTTCTTGATTCATCTGCTGCAGGTGACATTGTTCACTACGCTGTCCTCATGAACACTCTACTCTCTCTGGGCTTCCATGACACTACTCTCTTCTTGGTTCTCTCCCTATCTGTCTACCCATTCCCTCTCAAGTTCCTTTGCTGATTCATGAGCCATCATGACTCCTAACTGGGATGGATCACCAAAAGTCTCTCAGTGGCTCCATATGCTTTTCTTTCTGCATGCTTTCTCTCAATGACCTTATCAGACCCCATGGATTTAATAATCATTTTTATGCTAATGACTTCTAGATCTATATATCGCCTGAGCTTCAATTCTCTATCACCAATTGCTTATTGAACATTTCAAACTGAAGGTCCTAGAGACATCTCAAACTCAACATGTCCCAAATAGAACTCATTACCTTTTCCCCTCATGACCACCCCTCTTCCAAATTTTCCTGTTTTTGTCAAAGGTACCACCCTCCTTCCCAGGTTTTTAAATGTCACATTATCCTCAACTCTTCAATCTCCTTCAGTTGTCAAATCTTGCTATTTCTACCTCTACCATGTCTCTTGCATATGACTTCTTCTCTCCACTCACAGGATTACCACCTTAGTTGAAAGTTTCATCACCTCTTTCTGAGATTATTACAACAGCTTCCTAACTGATCTCCCTCCCTCAAGTTTCCCCAAACTTCAGTCCATCCTCCACGCTTCTTCCAAGTGATTTTTCCCTAAGCACAGATCTGATCACATGACAATCAATTCCAGTAGCTTCTTCTTACCTCCAGAATCAAGTATAAAATCCATTGTTTAGCTTTCAAATTCCTTCACAACTTTGCCCTCATCTATCTTTTCAGTCTCACTGTACATTATTCCTCCTCCTACACTCTTTGTTTCCCACAAGTTGTTTTGTTTCTATTTCTCACAACTGACACTCCATCTCCTGTCTTTGCATTTGCTGTCCCCTATGCCTGAAACTGATTCCACCCACCTCCCACTTTTACCTACACCTCACAGAATCCCTCTCTTCTTTATAGATATAGAGCTTAAGGATCACATTCCATGTGAAGTCTTTCCTGATCCCCTTAACTGCTAGTTCTCTCCCTCTCGATATACCCTGCATTTAGCTATTTTTGTATTTTTTTAATTTACTCTACATATGTCACTGTTGTTTTTCCCATTAGAATTTAAGCTCCATGTCAACAGTTTCACATACTTTTTCATATATTGTATTTTTCTCCCCAGGACCTGACATAGTGCCTGGCACAAAATAGGTAATAAATGATTATTGATTGGACCTCAATTTCCACAACTGTAACAACAAAAAAGAGTAAGCTTTGTCCTACCCTATCTTAAAGAGCTGTGAAGACAAATGAGATGATAATACAAGTGAAGCACTTTGAAAATTACAAAACACTATTCAAGTGCAAGGTATTAATATAATCACCAGTATTATTATTACAATAAGCATTATTAACTGTATCTGTCTCTTTCCTTACTGCCTTCAAACATACCTATAGTTTCCCTACCCAGAAAAAAAATTATCACTCAATGCTGACATCCTCTCAAGTTATTACTGTATATCTCTCTCTTTTCTTTCATAGCCTAACTCTCAGGAAGGGGGGAGGGGCAGCAAGTGTGCATGCTCATTGCCTCCACTTTCTTACCTTTCAGTTACTTCTCAATCCCCTGCAGTCTGGCCCAGCATTTGACTGAAACCGCTGCCCCGAAGGTTAACAATGATCTCTTAATAAGCCCAGCATTCATCCTGCCTGACCTTCCCACAATCTTAAACACTGTTGACCACTCCCTCCTTCCATATACTATTTCCTCCCTGGGCATTTGTGACACAGCTTTGTCATGGTTCTCTTCCTACACATATGACCAGTCGTTCGTATGTATTCATTTGCATGTTGTTTCCTTCGTTAGATTGAAAGCTCCTTATGGGAAGGGACTGTCTTTTGCCTCTTTTTGTTTCTCCAGCACTTAGCACAGTTCCTGGCACATAGTAGGCGCTTAATAAGTGTTTATTGAACTGAATTGAAGTGAATCAAATCTCTCTCCTGTACTACAGTCCTGCATCTCTAACTGCTTGCTACACATATATACCTGGATTTGTGATAGGCATCTTCAACTCAACATGTCCAAAACAGAACTCATTCTTTTTCCTCCTAAACCTACACATCCTTCTAACTTCTCTGTTTTTATAAAGGGCACCAACATTCTTCTAGTCACTCAGATTCACAACTCAAGAGTCATCTTCAACTCTTTGCTCTCTCTCAACCCCCATATCCAATGAGCTATCAGGATTTTCAGTTATTCCTCCTCAACATCTCTTGAATACACACTCTCTTCTCTACTCACCCCATTCTACCCTAGTCTGGGCACTCAACACCTCTCCCCGAACTATTGCAATAGACCTTCTAAATGGCCTCCACACTTCCTGTTTCTTTCTTCTCAAATTCATCTCCACACAGCTGCCAAATTTATATTTTTAAAGCACAGTTCTGACCATGTCGCTCCACTGCTCAGGAAACTTCATGGACTCCCCATTGCCCTAAAGATAAAATCCAAACTCTTTTTTTTTGGCATTAAACTCTTTTGAAATCTGGATCCAGATTATCTTTCCAGGCTGACTATGCATTATTTTCCCTCAGGTTCTTTCCACTCCAATTAAACTGTATTCCTTGTTTTTTCCTGAACCTGCTAACCCATTTCCCACTTTCGTATCTTTATAGAGGTTTTTCTCCATTCATGGAATGCTCCCTCTTACCTTACCTCCACCTCATGGAGCCCTTGGCTTTCTTGAAGGTACATTAAAGTACCACCTCCTTCAGAAAGCCTTTTTTGATTTCTCCAGTTTTGTTCACCCTCACATCACTCCATGTGTGTATAAACCCCCAAGCTCCAGGAGCTTACATTATACTGTCTCTCACTCTTTCACATGCATCCCCAGTACTTAACACAGTACTGATACACAATAGGAGTTGAATGAATGCTTGCTGATTATTAGTAACAATGGCATCAACTTCTAACTCTTTAGAGTGAGATCATCAAATTGCTTTGCTCCCCAACATGAGTGAGGGGGATCATAGGTCCCAGGAGAGAGGGGATGCTGAAAAAAGCAATGAGGAGACCCAATACAATCATAACACTTCACATTTTTTACTTCAGCCATCTCTGATTACTTGAAGCTTAAGGAGAAGAAGAAAGAAAGATGAATGAGTGTTTGAGGAAAGGGACTGAGGCTGAAAAAAAGAGAAATGTTAAGAGATCCAGAGATCATTGCCAGGGCTTGAAAACTACCTAACTCACCCATTTTCCCTCTCTTAGCATCAGAGTAAAAGTTAAACAATGAAGAACTTCTAACATTTTCAGCATCCTACTTTCTGGGAAGATTGCATGGCTGAGTTGGTACAGAGGGTTGTTTTCTGACTATAAGTCCCATATATATTTTCTCATAATCGCAGGTGATTTTACAGCAGCAACACATCCCCTCCCAGCAGACCTTCCTGCTCTCTCTTTATTTAAATTGCCCTTTGGTTAAGGCTCTCAGTTGCTTGTAAGAAGTCACCATGATCCTTCTCATTACTGAGCCCTCAGAGACCAAATTACGTCTATTCCTTGCTCTCGACTCCAAGGGTTGCATTACTTCAAAGTTAGCTTGGCTTCTTTTTCCCTTCAAAGACTGGGTAAGCTGCAAAGTTACTGGCTCCCTCCCCAGCCTTGGCTGTGGTAGTTATTTGCTTCTGACTGCAGCTGTTTTAAGAAGGCTTCTGAGTCTCAGAAAAATTCACACCCATCCTCTCTCCCCTACTGCTTACTGTTCATCTGGCCTGCTTCCTGGTGACACCTGAAAGCCCAGATCTGTACAAAGTGTAGGGTGAGCCCCCAAATGAAGTTTCTGGGGCCTTGCTGCTCTTGCTGCTTTGAGAGAGAGAGAGAGAGAGAGAGAGAGAGAGAGAGAGAGAGAGAGAGAGAGAAGAGATAGCTGTGACATTTTTTTCCCACATATCACAACAAAAGCCTTTCTGGTTTAACACTGGATGCACCAATGTTCTGTCATGGTACTACTGGTTCTAGGCACACAGCACCTGAACTCTTTCTTTACTGATGATCCATAAGAAGTAGAATAAAACAGAAGTAGAATAAAATAGCATCCTCACAAAGAAGCAATGAAGCAACGTCTCAGTCTGGCAACCGACCAAAAAGAAATGTCATCACTTCCACCACTCAGTCATAGACAATGGTTAAAAAAAAGTCACACCAAGCTCATGACCCCCATCAAAGGAGGGGAGAAAGGTATCATAAAAGAAATAGCTAACGTCACCTTGTCCTTCCACACATTCCTGTGAAAACTCATTTGCACTGGCCCATCTGATGTCAATCCATATCCTTTTTATTATTTCAAATTCTCAAAACACTGCTTAATCCATCAACTCAAAACAGCAGCAACAACAAACCATAAGTATACGTCCGACAGCAGATCATGAAATGGAATCCACTACATACTTGCTTGGGCCATATTTCCTTTTTCATTCACCAGATTTGGTTCCCCCATTCCTTATGCAGGACTGTTTCTGGTTGGATTCAGTCCAAGGAGAATCCTACAAGCAGTGCCTTCATTCAACCTCAAGGGCGTTCACCACTCAACAGAAATACTACAAATTTCTCCAAGGGAGCACAGGTGCTTCGTGATTCTGTACTGACCCCAGCAATCAGTGAACAGTAAGTGAATAAGGTCTATCGCTGTCCATATTGAGCTACCTATCCCACAGAGATAAACTGGACTAAAGACAAATAATCAGTCAAGATGTTCCAGGGTAAGATCCTTAAAAATTATCTTTAATTGATGCCAAGTATGAACAGATAATAAAGTGACAGAAGCAAGGAAAATTGCATAGATGAAAACTATGCACTTCAGTTAGGCTCTCAACTCATAACATTCAATGTCCTCTGACAAATCAAAGAGCTTTGTGAGGAGAGGGGAAAATGAGCAGTAACCTGAAAATGAGGTTAGCAATTTGCAAACTCAGGAAGCAAAATACTGCTTTGTCAGCTTCAATGGTTTGTTGCCCTGATGGTGCACTTTAAATTAATACTATTCATTTTCTATTTTAACCTTGGTGATTAATACTTTATTTTTAAAACCAGAGGTATGTCATATACAGCCCATATTATCTACCTGCAGCTGTTGAATACACGATTTCCAAACAGCGCATTAGAGAATAAAAGTGCTTCTGCATGTTAATGGAAAGGAAAAACTTTTCAGCTGGCATATTACACATGGGATTTCATCCCTTCTTATCCCCTCCCCCCACCAACTTTCCCACCTCTCCCAATTCCCTTCCCTTATTTATTGTTTCAAGGGTTTGAGGTTTTGTAACTGTGGGACACAAAACTTCATTCTTTGCCCTTTCTGTTCTGCGTCTTGGAAAACCCAAGCAGCCTCCCAATTAAAGTCACCCTGCAACTAGGGCTGATATCACTCAAACTAACAGTCTTGTGGCGGGAGGACTTCCTTAAGAACTCCTGGTGGATGTCCTGGCACTCCCAGGAAAGTCTATAGTAGTTTCACCTGTGTGAGGAGATGGTTTCTTATCCCAAATACTTATATATTAAGTAAAGATTTAGGGTTTCAAACCAAAACCCTAAACCCTGAAGCTCATTCAAGGTAGATGAGGAGGTGTAGCTAATTAACACATCACTTGTTTCTTTGCAAAGTGAAGTGTGTAAATTTCTTTCTTGGTAGATTGCCTGAGTGATGAGGAAGAAAAATTGTACCTATATCTCAAAGTTCTATAACATAAACATGAGCAAAATAGTCTGAACAGCACATGGGATTTACCTCCTGATGCCACCAACCAATAAAGATTATACCTGATTTCATGTTTATTTATCTTTCATATGAAAATAAAAAATCAGGCCTGACATACCAAACTCCTCATGATTTAGTTTCCTGCTTTAAAAAGTTCAGACTGATTGTTTGGCAGTTGTATTCTTCCTAACAAATTGTACAATGGATGGTTACCACCCACCAATTCTCACCACTCCCAAGAATATGCCTTTCCTAGAAGAGAAAGAAGAATTGCCTTCTGCTCAGTCTTTCTTTCATTCTTTCTGTTTTGCCCAACTGAGTTATCTATTGACCAAACAAGAAGTTAAAATTATGAGTATATGTTTCTAGATCTCTCACAATAAATGGGGCATGGGATAGGACCTTTATTTCCTGCCTCCTTCAGATGTGTTTTCTCTTATTTGGAAAATCTGAATGTGATACATGAAATAAAAGAGGCCCTTTCTCCTACAATGGAACGAAAATTCTACTTAAGGAAACACATCCCTCACTTAATGTCTGATGATTATTACTTCTAAGTGAGTTAGGATAGTAATTTCCCTTTGTGCTTCAGCTCTACTGTAATGGGAACTAAACTGTCTATACAAACTCCTTTTTTAAGGAAATGATTGTCCATTAGCCATAACTTCAAGAAACTGCTGCTGCTTAACTTGGTTTCATTGGGTTAACCCACTACCAAGGAACTGAATGACTGATTTAATAACATCAACTTTTTTTTTGGTGGGACACAGCAAGTCAAAAAAATAACAAAAGGTTTATGGCTATAATCTGTCTTCTACACATTCGAGGACAGAGGTGATTTAATTTCTTTGGTCACTTCAAATCTATCGAGTTAAGTTAGCTCCTTTCAGAGCTTCTTGGTACGCTAACAGCACTGGCAGGGACCAACATTTAACCCTATTAAACTAGGGCCCCTAAATTCTAGAAGGGCTGATTTGTGCACATCAGCCCTTCAGAAGTTTTCTCTCCCTAGAGAAAACCAGTATTCAGAACATGAGCCATATCAGTCTCTGGGGAAGGAAAGGAAAAGGGCAAAAGCCAGTCAAAAAATAAACAAATAAGCCAAAGGGTATTAATTCAATTCCTTAACAGGCAGCTTTGTTAAGTGCACCTTCAGGTCTACAAATACATTTCAGCCCTGTTGTAGTGCAAGGAATAAGAGCTTTTGTCAAACTTTGCATGCCTATACTACACAAAATAATCCTTTAAGCCATCCTTGTTGAATTCTGGAAACGAATTAAGAATGGGCAAGGGACATCCAGACTCCCCATACCACCCCCAAACTCTTTAGAACTCACCCCAAACCCTGGTCAACAGACCCATCCACATAGCTCTTTCTCCTCTAACACATTCACAGAGTCATCAGTCCAGTGGACAGGCTAAGGTGAAGGTTTCCAACTACTAGAGACACCTAGTAGCCGGTCAGTCTCCTCTGCTTTGGTCCTATTGGCTGGTCTTTTCAGCATCCATCCCACAGCACTGAATGGATTATTGCTGTTGACTGAGTGCAGTTGAACACAGGAAGTTGTGCGTTCTAGACCTCTGAGTGGAGATGAAGGATTGGAACATTCTTGGTTGTTTTGTAGTTGTTTTTGAGGGTGGCTTGTTTTCCTCCCCTAAGCAGGGAGTTTTAGAGGGGAGGGGAGAGTGATGAATGGCTGTTGGGGTAAGGGGGGAGAGTGGAAAGGAAGCACCACAGGCTCGTTCTGGAGAGGTTTCCCATCCTACAATCAGATGCCTTCCAATTATCACAGGAAGGTCACGTTCTTTTGGTCTCTCTTCACATAGGGTGTGTCTGTTTGTATCCATCCTTCAGGCTCATAGAAGCCAAACAAGCAAAGAAAATGTCTAAATTATTTTGCTTTAGCTCAGCAAGTAAGCCTTGTGCACGATTATATTGTGTTAAGTGCCTTACTGTACTGCCTAGAGAGGAGGGAAGGGCAGAAGGGAGAAAGGAAGGGGAGAGATCCCTATACAAAGCAGGAGAGAAGAAGGAAGTGGTCAGCAGCAGGCAGCCTCATGCTAAATTCAAATGAAGCTCCATCCCCACCTGTGTGTCCTTAAAGATTTGTGAGTGCCTCTCAGTTAAGTGACAGCTGTTTGTCTCCAAGGACCTATGCATTTCCTTCCTTTAGCTGGTCCATAAGCAGACCACCACTCTCTGGGGTTGGTGATTGGGGCAGGGGTTGTAAAGTTTTCAGTTAACAGAGGTGGGGACATACAGATAAAAAGAGGGTAGAAAGAAAAAAAATTTAATTAGAAAATTAAGGTTTTTTACTGAGTTATTCTGGATTCCAGAATAACAGAGGAGTAAGAGTAGGAGGGGAATATGAGAGGCATGGAAGAGCAAAGTACCTGTACATGATCTGAGGAGACACTAGAACTTCACAGGGACTCTGGCAGGAGTCCAAATACCAAAGCATTTCTCTGTTTTTGGAAGAAGAAGAAGGAGAGATTGAGTCCGTTGTCCATGTTCATTCTGAAGCTGGGTCTCAGGCCTCAGGTCACTGTCAACATCAGACTACCAAAGGGAAACAAGCTCATTGATGACGCCGTACATCATTGTCCCTGTTGTCTTCTCTTTCCAGGGGTCAGTATGGTGTGATCTTCTCATATTAGTGGAGGTGGGGAGGAGGGAGTGAACAGTGAAGGAGGGAAGGTGGTGAAGGTGGAAAAATAAAAAAAAAAAGATGCCCCAGCTCCTCCCCTCTTACCCCTCTTTAACTTTGCAGCTGTTTTAATGGAGGCACTTTCTGCAATTCAGTGGGTGCAGGATAAAGGCACTAAGCAACTATTTAAATAAATTGATTTTCTTCAGTAAGTTCTCAAAGGGAGTACCAAAGTCTCTAAAGACTTCAAATCATAACTGCAAAAAGAAATCATCTCTAATTTGGATGCGCACATTAGATAAAGAGTTTCATTTACATTCTAAGAATGCACCAAAAAGCATGCAGTATTGCACCATTTTTTGTTTTGTTTGTTTGTTTTTGTCTTTAGCTATAGAGGATATTGTTTCTTAGGTGTTGCTATATATAACTTGATAGCTTTTTATTTTTTCCATATACTTTCCCTTTAAGGGATGGGAATATTTTATCCTCTTTCTGATAATTCCTGGACAGAAACCAAACATTTCCCTGAGCAAAGGCAGGAAAATTCACTGAGTCCTCCTCTCCCTTCACTTTGTTTGGGCCCTTCTTATCATAAACTTTTTTTTATTTATTTTTTTTCTTACTGAAATCATGCATTAATGAATTCAAGTTACACCTTAGTCAAATAGGCCATGATGCGGAATAATAGAACATGCTTTGAGCTCCAAAAAAAGTATTGTTCCCATTTGACTAACATATGCACTTAAATACAGTGCTTTAAATTACTAATAAAACAGGTAATAAATTAAGGAGTGCACTTTTGGTGAATGAAAATGAAAAAGGGCCTATTTTTAGAATAGTTCAAAAGATAGCTTATCCCTTATTGTTTGAGGTAATGATCCCCGCATGCGATTATAAAATAAATAGTGTCAAATTCAAACATGCTTACAGTAAACTCCATTTGTTCTCTTGCAACAAAGGTGGGGAGGGGGGACAAAAGTTTTGCATCCGGTTCTTTTAAGTGAAGGGACAAGGAGCTCTAACAGGGGAAGAAAAAAAACCTTATATGTAGTTCATCTGCAGTTAAGAAAACTTAGCAGCATTGCAGATGTCTGAATTGATTTTTTTTCCTAAAAAAAAAAATCTTGGCTTGAGTAAGAAGGAGAATGGGCAAAGAGGGAGATCATTAGAGATCAGGCCCAATATTATACTTATAAGGTGCTATAGGGCCCATTCATGACTTATTGATTTTTCAAGAGGATAGATACACTTCAGCTGATTCAAATAAAAACGGCCAATATTCACTATGCTTTTTGGTCAATTCATTTATACATATGTCTTATATGTATAAATAGCTGATGCACTTTCTTTGATACACTGTCAGTGTGCATTTTGCAGAGATTTTTAATTGGAGTCCCATGCATATTTCATTTTTATATTTCTAAGTGATCATCTGTTTTTAAATATTTCTTTAAAATTAAGTTAAGCAGAGGGATGAAAAACATTTCAATATAGAGAAGCATATGAGTCTTATTTTACCTAGGCTAGTTCAAAGACTGTTCATTTTTTTTTACCAGTTATGGAAAATACCCTTTCTTTTTCTTTCACTTTTTAAAATAAAATGAAAATAGTATTTTTATGGATCCTGAAAGCTTCTGGTTCGCGGAGCCAAAAAATCTGCAATGCAAGAATGCATTTACAGGTCAATAGAGCATTCAAAGACTATTTAGTAAAGTATCTACAGAGTGTGACACAGGTCACTAGGTTTTTTTGTTATTATTGTTGTTTGAGGTGTGTTTTTTTTTTTCTGTTAAGTCTTTCAAGTTGCTAAGTGGAATTTGTGTGTGTATATGTGTGTGTGTGTGTTATGTTTTTAATTTTTTTTTAAACATCCGTCAGGAGCTTGCTCTTGTTAACACAGTTTTGGTTAGCTGTAGTGCAGTTGCCAGTTCTGATATTAGCCTGTCTATAGTGGGCTATACTATTATTCATATCCTCTTCAATTTCCATGTATTCAGATTTGCTGATAGTAGAGGAGCTACGGCGACTCAGGTCGCTATCAGAGGCTAAGTTAGGGGAACTAACATGGAGCAACTGAGCCTGCTCTTCCCCTTCAGTTTCTCGGTGGTAGAAATAGTTGAAATTGGACACAATGACAGGTACAGGCAGGGCAATTGTCAGCACACCAGCGATGGCACACAAGGAGCCCACGATCTTGCCTCCAATTGTCACAGGGTACATGTCACCGTATCCTACAGTGGTCATGGACACCACAGCCCACCAGAAAGCGTCGGGGATGCTTGAGAAGTGAGACTCAGCGTCTTCTGCCTCTGCAAAGTATACAGCACTAGAAAACAAGATAACCCCAATGAAAAGGAAAAAGATGAGCAAACCTAGCTCTCTCATGCTAGCCTTGAGAGTCTGACCTAGGATCTGGAGACCCTTGGAATGGCGGGACAGTTTGAAGATTCTAAAGACCCTTACCAATCGGATGACTCTTAAGATGGCCAGTGAAGTAGCCTGCTCACCCTTCTGGTTGCCCTCCTGCTCTGCCATTTCAGTGCCCAGGGTAATGAAGTAGGGGATGATGGCCACGATGTCAATGAAATTCATGATGTTCTTGAAGAAATCTGTTTTGCTGGGACAGGCAAAGAAGCGTACCACGAGCTCAAAGGAAAACCAGATGATGCATAATGTTTCCACGATGAAGAAGGGATCTGTGAAAATGTTAGATTTGTAGTAGATTGTGGTGTTGTCACTTGGTTGAAAGGTGCTGAATTCCCTTTCTTCTTTTAGCTCAGGCAGGGTCTCCAGGCAGAAAATAACTATAGAGATCAGGATTACCATGACTGAGACAATCGCAATGACCCGTGCAGGCCCAGAGCTCTCAGGATACTCAAAGAGGAGCCACACCTGGCGCTGGTACTCCTTCTCTGGCAATGGGCGCTCTTCCTCCTTGATGAAACCTTCATCCTCTCGGAACTTCTCCATGGCCTCCTCACCCAACTCATAAAACTTGATCTCCTCAGAGAACATGTCCAGGGGCACATTGACAGGTCTACGCAGGCGCCCTCCAGACTGGTAATAATAGAGGATGGCATCAAAGCTGGGCCTGTTGCGGTCAAAAAAATACTCATTTCTCAGGGGGTCGAAGTAGCGCATGCGTTTCTTGGGATTCCCCAACAGTGTGTTGGGGAACTGTGCCAGGGTCTTAAGTTGTGTCTCAAAACGCAGCCCAGAGATGTTGATCACCACCCTTTCACAGCAGTCATGGTCGTCATGGTCTGCTGGCCTGGGATAGCTGATGTCTTGGGGATGGCCCTGGGCGGCAGAAGCCTCCTCCACGTTCTCTCCGGACATCACCGTCATGGTCTAAGCTGGGTGGAAGGGTGTGGAGCAGAGAGGGTGGACTGGGGTGGTGAAGTTGTTGGAAGGAGGGGGGGGAGAGGGTAACCAAATGCCCCCCACCCCCCACCTAGAGTGTTTGAATCCTCCACCCCTTAGGGAGAATAGCCCAAAGGTAGGAAGGAAACGAATCTGGGCTCTATCGATCTACTCTCACCCCCACCTAATTTTTTCCCAAATTGGAATCCCCCTTTCCAGCAGCACGTGGCTCCTGTTCTGCTGTGGGGAGGGGGGTGTTGTTTTTCTTTCCTCTCAAGGTAATGCTGTTCTGGCAAACTTCGACATTGCATTTGGGGGAGGGGGTCACCCTTTTACCCCCGCCCTAAATCGTCATAAAAACAGGACTGGGTGCAGTGTCAGCTCAGCAGACTCCCCTGCCTTCCATTTCTCCCTCTTTCTCTGGTCTATCCTCCCTCCTACCCCTCTTCTGCTGCTTTTTAAGCTCCCACCAGGGCGATCGATGGATGCTGCAGAAAAATAGAAAGTGATAGGGAAGTATAAAAAAAAAATCAAAAACATTCAGACGGAACGCATCTATAGAAACTGCAAAAGCACATACATCTATCTACCTTTCCTGTATTGGAAAGCACCAGACATAGCTAAGGCAATCTCTCTCTCTGTCTCTCTCTCTCTCTCTCTCTCTCTCTCTCTCTCTCTCTCTCTCTCTCTCTCTCTCTCTCTCTCTCTCTCTCTCTCTCTCTCTCTCTCTCTCACTTACTTCAAGTTTTCTGGTTTCTCCTGCCCACCTCCCCCATTCCCCTATAGCCGATCTGTTTACAACTTCATTAACAACTGAGCCCGAAGGCGGGGGCTACCAGAGATCCAGGGTTCTCACGCCCCGCTCCCCCTCACCCTCCCTACTCTGATTCGTGCAGCCAGCCCCCGAATGGCGGAGCCCTACCGGGCTTCTCGTCTTACCTGGAGGGGTGTCTGGGCAGGCGTCAGTGGCGATGTTGAGTCGGGAGAAGAGTTCCTGTTGGAATGCGGCAAGTCTCCTTGGCGGCGGCGGTAGCAACAGCAGCATCCAAAAGGCGCAGTGACAAACTCAGCCTCCAGCTCTCTCCTCCTGCGCTCCTCTCCTTGCCGAGATCGCTCTATAGGGCCGCTGCTGCCGAAATATTTATACCCACCCCCATTTCTAACAACTCGAAAGACTATACAGAAAGGAAGAAAGATAGGAAGACCCCTCTCCAGTTCCAAGTTACTAGGGTTGCTGGAGAGGGAAAGGGGTGGGAGGGGGAGGGGAGTGGGGCGGAGGGGTACCTCTACAAAAATCCCTAGAATTAAAATAAAATTCAAATTTAAAAAAAAAAAATCGCTCTCTCTGGCACTCCAGGAGTCTCTGCTTCGCTTCTAGAGGGATGGATCCAGGCTGTGGGCGGCAGGAGAGAGCCGCCCGGGATCTACATAGCTACTCCAAGCACCTCCACCCCGCCTCTCGCTAGCTTAGTCCTCCAGGAAGCTCCGCTGGACACCTGGGGTTTGGGAAGCCTCGGAGTCGAGCGGGACTATTGCGGTAGTGACAGCAGCCGCGGCGGTAGCAACGGCAGAGCGGCGGCGCGGTCCATTTCTGGACCCTGCAAGATCAGCAGAAACCCGAGGAGGCGCCTCTGGTGCGGAGCGGGGATTGGCCCGCCAGGGTCGTGGGATGGGGAGGGGGAGGAGGAAGGAGCTGGAGGATAGAGAAGTGGGCGGGGGATGGGGGGGTGCAGAAGAGGGAGTTTCTCACCCTTGTCAGCCATCCTTCTCCTCCTCCAACAAACACCCCCCCAGAACCTCCCCCTCTCCCTCCCTAGCCCATCACAATTCAGAGCCCCGAACACGCGAAACTACCCAGCTGCGACCTTCCCAGGGGATTTAACATTGCAAATGACCACTTTCGACGCAATGCAGGCTGTAGCACTCAAGGCTAGCAGGATCCTTGGTGGCTTTTATGTATGTGGATGCTTGTATAGATGTGTCCGTTCCGCAATGAGTCTTTTAGTCACTGTGTGATGCATTACTGGTATACTTCCCTTCTTCTACTTCCCCTCTCTCTTCCTTTCCCCACGAAACTCCCTCTCCTCCTTCCCTGCACCCACCCAACACGTTCTCCACCACCCCAACAGCTCGCGTTGCCTGAGGTAGGAGTTCTACTCCAAGGCAGCTTCTGGCAGTTAGAGCAATGAATCTTTTAAGGGGCGAAAAGTCAGCAATGTAGGTTCACTTGGGTTTGGGATATTCTTTAGGGGAAGAGAGGGAATCGTCTCCTTGCGTCCTAACGTGGGTATGAAGTTTTCTTGTTTATTTTTAATTAGACAAGATGTGCCTGGCTTGTGAGGGGACGGTTTCGCCTTCGCTTTGTGGCGTATCCTGCCCACTTAATGCCAACTGAAAATCAATTGAGTGGAAAACCCGACTGAACACCACACACACACACACACGCACACACACACACACGCTCTGCCCTTTCCTCCTCACTCTCTATCTACTGTTTTCCCGGTAGATCTCCCCTAAGGAGCCACATGCCGCCCTTGCCACTTCTCCAATCAGGAAGCCGCCCCCATAGAATCGCCAGGCGGTGAGATGCGGGGTAGGACGCAGTACTTGGCACGAGGAGCCTGGGCGCATAAGGCACACGGCGCCAGCTGTGCCCCCGTAGGCGCTGCGCCTAAACCTGCAGCAGAAAGGAAGCCAGGGAGCACGCTCCAGCTCTTTAGGGAAGCGTCTAAGGCTCTTAAGAGGCGGGGGGGGGGGAGCGGGAGTCGCCAGTGATTGGTTCTCCTTGATGCACTGGCACCAACACCCCAACGCACACACATCCCCCCCTTCCTCTGCTTACACTACACCACCATCTCTCTGATCAAGGTCAGTGGCCCCAACCTCCCTGTTTGGCTCACTCTAGAGGATGTCTAATGGATTCCATGCTTCCCTGGACTGTTAGAATAGCAGTTCAGCGGTTACTAGAAGAGAAAGAGTTAATGCTTTTCTTTTTATTTATGTGTTCCCTTCCCCCCCCCCATACTCACACCCCTGCATTCTTTTTGAGGGTGCTGAGGTATCTTGTATAAGTACCTCTTTCCCTCGGTCTTAAGCTACTAGACCAAATGCCATCCTCTCTAAGCACGGACTTCCCTCCATCCCAATTACCTAGAACAAGTAGTTGCCCTATTAGGTGCCGTATGATGTTGAAGAGGTAAGGGAAATTCAATATGGCAAACATTTGGGCTCTGAAATAAAAGAGGATTAGGCACCTTGTTTAAACAGTTTTATTTAGAGGTCTGCTCCTAAAGATAAACTAGAGTCAAGGTTATTCCCCTGGGGATTCCTGTTATATCTCCTAATGGAATGTAAGCTCCATGACTCTCTGTCCTGCTTTTGCGTTCCCAGACCCAAGGAGAGGCAATTGAATTGAACATTCACAGAATTTATCTGTCTTCCTGGTTTGGGCTGCCAAAAGCAGACTCTAATTTTGCTGACTCAGCGTTTGGAGATTGCAGTCCTAAAAGAACCTGAGTCTAGAAAAGGTTGAGGTGATCCCGAAGAGCTAGCATGGCTTCATCAAAAACATTTCATACCAGACAAACCTAATTTCCTTTTTTCTACTGAGTTACTGGCCTGCTGGGTTTGAGGAATACTATAAAAGTAGAGTTTATCTAAGTTTTATTAAACATTTGACAAACTCTCCCATGCTATTCTTGTGAATAAGATGAAGAGGTGTGGTCTAGAAAATAGTAGGTAGATTCAGAACTACTTGAATAGCTAGATTAGGAGAGTATTCACTCTAATGTTTTCTGTCAACTTGGGAAGAAGTCTCTAAGAGGAATAACCCAGAGAACCTGGCCTTGACCCTGTGCTATTTAACCACTGATTTGGATAAAGTCTTAAATTATATGCTCATCAAATTTGTATATGGCACAAAGCTTGGAGGGGTAGTATACTAATGAGAGGGAGGAGGCAGAATCCTGTCAAAAGATCATGTCAGGCTTACAAATTTCAGCCAAAATTTTCAAAATGAAATTAAATAGGAAAATGTAAAGTTTATATTGAGTTATAAAAATCAAGTTCACAAATCAAAAATGAAGGTGACAGGTATGGCTAGGTAGCAATTTGTGGGGAAAATATTGGCAGGGGGGAAGTTAGTGGACTCTAAGATGAGAAAGATTTGCCAGTATGACATGGCAGTCAGTGAAGATAACACAATTTTAGGCTTCATGAAGAAAGTCATAATGATCAAGACTGAATTATGTTCTAAGCAGATCTCATCAGGAATATCTTATTTAGTTCTGGGTGCCCCATTTTAGGAAGACCTTTAGTAAGCTAGACAGCATCTAGTAGAGGGTAACTAGAACGCTAAAATTAATGTCATGTGAGGATCAGTTGGAGGAACTCATGATTACCTAGCCTGGACACAAGAAGACTTGGGTGAGAGCTGTTTTCAAGTATTCTAAAGGCTGACACGTGAAAGGATTAGATTTCTTCTGGTTGGCCCTAGAGGGGCAGAACTAAAAGCAGCAAGTAGAAATTGCAGAAACAGATTTAATTCTGATTTAAGGAAAAGCTTCCTAGTGATTAGATCTCTCCAAAAGTAGAAAGGGCTACTTTGGAAAGTAATCGGTTCCTTCTGGCTGAAGGTATTCAAGCAAAGCCTGGACAACCACTTGTCAGATATGTTGGGGACAGGATTCTGAGTAGGATTAAATGTGCCTTCCAACTCTGAGATTCTGTTGATCTGTGACTCTGTGATTAGACTAGGTCCTTTTTCTCAGATTCCAGGTCTTGCTGGGGGTCACATGCTAAATAAGGGAAGGGCAGAACTCACTCCAAAACTTTTGTTTGTACTCCTATTTGCTATTCTCTTATTTTATTTCTGTATTATGATTATTAAATATTTTTGTTGTTATTCAGTTATTTTTCAGTAGAATCCAGCTCTTTGTGACCTCATTTGGGGTTTTCTTGGCAAAGATACTGGAGTAGTTTGCTATTTTCTTCTCCAGCATAGTTCACAGGTGAGGAAACTGAGGCAAACAGAGTGAAGTGACTTGCCCAGAGCCACACACCTAGGAAGTTTCTGAGGTCAAATTTGAATTCAGATCTTCCTGATTCAGGGCCACTCAATCCACTGTGTCACCTGGCTTCCCTACATAATCATTATATCCCCCAAATGTAACCTTCATAAAGGCAGGGACCTAGTCTTATCAACAAACATTTATTAAGCACCTACTATGTGCTGAGCTAGGTACTAGGGTTACAAATGCAACAATGAGATAATTCCTGCCCAGGAGAAGATTATATTTTACTAAGAGGATACATATCTACAGATAAAATAAATCAAGGATCATTGAATGATAGGATTGTAGACCTAAAGCTAGTAGAGACCTCAGAGGTCACCTGGTCCAACCTTCTCATTTAACAGATCAGGAAACTGAGGTCCATTGAGGTAAAGTAACTTTCCTAAGGTCATACCCATAGTAAGCATCAGAGACAAATTTTGAACCACATCTCTCCAACTTTCAAAGAAAAGAGGGGGAGCTATCAGCTTACCTAAAAATCTAGGTAAAGAGCATTGACAAAATTCTCCTGGTCTACTAGCCTAGCAACACCACCAAAAACAGGAGTGAGATGAGTTTGACTATGGAAACTTTTTATGAGGCCATGATGGTTCTCAGTGATCACTGCTTCAGTTCAATTCAATTCAATTCAACAACAATTGGTTGAGCATCAAGTATGAGTACCTTGCTATCCTGGTGTTAGGGATACAAAGACAAAACCCAAACAATCCCTACTCTCAAGGAGCAACTGTTCTATTGCTAGGAAACAATATGTATATAAGTCAGAATATATAAAGTAAATGCGAAGTAATTTCAGGAGCAGGAGGGGAAGTACTAACAACTGGGAGAGATCACAGAAGGCCTCCTTTAGAATATAGCACCTTGAGCTTTTCTTTAAAGAACCTAATAAGTTTACTAGGCAGAGGTGAAGAGACAGAGAATTCTATGATGGAGAGCGGCCTGTACAAATGAAGAGTCAGGAGAAGGAATGTCACATAAGTAGTCACCTTTGACTGGAATATTGAGTGCTTTTTTCTAAGTGTTTGGCAATAAAAAGGAAGAGAAATATAAGATGATAGCTTAAGGAGATGGTAGTGTCATGTAAAGATTTTTTTAAGGATGAGAGAGATCCAGGAGTGTTTGTAAGCAATAGGCAAAGAGCCAGCATGTAAAAATTGAAGATTATAAATAGAAAGTAGATGATTTGAACAGACAAGCTCACAGAGGAGGTGTCAAGAACATAGGTAGAGGGGCTGGCTTTCCCTTGTCTTCATTCACATGGTTACCATGCCAGCTGAAGATTTTATCACCCCTTGCATGGACTATTACATTATGCTTGTAACTGATATTCCTGCTTATAGTGTTTTTATTCTTCAATTCATCCTCTACATGGCTTTGAAATTAGTATTTGTAAAACACAAGTCTAACTATGTCACTTCCCTTTCTAAGAATCATCAGTGCCTCCATTTTGTCTCTAGAATAAAATACAAGCTCTTCTCTGTCTTTTAACGATTTTCACAATCTGGCTCCATCCCATCCTTCCAGATTTAATTGACATTGTTCGCCCTCA